GGCGGTTAGCGCCACCCTTATCGCATCAGGGTGAAAATTCTCACCTTAGCGGCCTCAAACAGAATCATTTTATGGACGTTAGCAATTGTGGATGTCATTAATAACATCCCATAAAGCATCGTATGTGCCTTGCTTTACTTATTTTCACATGTCTACTACCTACTACAATTTGTGCCAGTGTTGACAGTCGCGCACAGCGCCCTGATGGGAGAGTGGATGTGATCTGTTAAGGTTCTTTGATAGTACCTCTCCGGTATGTTGCGTGGTCGCGCTCAATTTATAATGACCTGTGGTACATTCATTACACGTGACTTGAGACTAAAAACGCGTTCCTAGCTTTTCTAGTTTCGGAACCGACGCGGTTTTTGAGGAACACTTCACGGTTTTCCACGACGGAAGCGAGCGGCAGGTGGCGACTGACGAAGCCGCGGACGGCAGAACGCGCGCGGCGAGCTGACATTGTCCTATTACAGGAACCATACGTCATGATTTTATGCTCGAATTACGCACCATTATTTACTATTGAACTCAAAATTGAACAAGGAGCATGCCTGTATATTTTAATGTCGTTACGAGGCACGGTCTCGCGTGTATGAGTTTGTAAAGATGAAGAGCGTGATGCTCGGGGAAAGTTAGCCACCTTTGACTAGACAAGGTGGGGTTTCTAATTGGCCTAGCAACATGAAACTTGCTGCGAATCGCAAGACATAGTTGAGACCGATCTACTGGAGTTTATTTTCCCTTCTAAGCTATGCCTTCCGTAGTTTGGAAACGACAGGGGGTCGATGCACCCTCTTCGGCGAATCAGGGTGAGGGTTAATGCCTGAACGAAACTGATAAGAGGTGGAGCATGTACCCCGGTGGGCATTGTGCGAACCCCTTTGTATACCACCAATCACTCTGGTACACCACGTGAAACCCATCTAAAAAATCGTGGCGACCTAAACCCGCTACAGTACAGCCGAACGGACGTCTAGGTATTCCGCTCCAGTTGGACCAGAACGCTGGCTTGCCAGTACACAGCCAAGGTCCGCCATCTAAGACATTCGCGTCGTGTGGGGAGTGCTGATTTAAGAACATTTTCCAACCATCCTGAAAAATGAGGGCTTGAAACGCGAGCCTAGTGCCTGCTAGTACTTTGACCAAAATGGTAATGCAAGTTTTAGTAGATAACGTGAAGCGGAAACGAAGTTGGTATAATATTGGAACATTCCGTGATTGTTCACTTGACTGCACTAATCAGCGCAAAATTTGGACCTGAAATATATGAATAATTAACAATGACGTGGTTTGATAGACAGAAACTGTGTTTTTCAATTTATATATATTTTGGTTTTCAAACAGTCTGCTAAAAGCTAGAAATATCCTATAGCAAGAATCCATATCTGGAATCCTTTCCGACATTTGTAAAATTACAATTGCGGTGTGGTATTTGCGGGCCGTTGTTGTGTTGTCCGGGGCGCGGATTACGTTATTCCTGAAATTACGAGTATGTTGAAAGGTGTGAATAGTGTGGAAACAAGTGAAATGTTTCCATTTAAGATGTTTTGTTAAGGCTGTGCTATCTGTGAAGGAGCACTGCACAAGGACTTCACCTTGGGACGTGGAGAGGGAAGATAGATTATTTGTCACTGGCGACTTCAGAGCGTCGTTAGTTAGCAGGTGGGTGCTCATTTTAGATCTATTGCAGTTGCTGGCCTTCTGCTCGCGCACTGAGAAGATCCAACTGCAAATACTCCCATATCTGTTCAGTTGTCGTGTGATGTTCCTGTTGTGACTCGAACCTGTCATAGCCATGGCAAACAGGTTTGTCAGGTAATATGCCAGATCTGTCTGTGCTGTGCTCAACACAAGGAACTCTGCAGGCACTGCCTCAAAGTAGATTATGCATTTATTATGAAGTCAAGAACAACAATGGTAAAAGGGGTGATGACAGACGGATTTCTGATCAGCTGAGTCCAACAATATTGGGATATGGGGCTCAGGTTGAGGATATTAAATGTACTCTAACTTTGGTTAAAAATAACCCATTTTTGCTTCATATATATTTCAGGCTAGTAATAGTGGAATATTGCCAAACATGCATGCCTAAATCCCAAGCTTCCTGTACCTGATGCAAAAAAAAAATCAAAAATGAATAAAGATATACAAATATATTTATATACTTTGAGTTATATTTATTATCATTATATTTGTTTATTATTATTATATATCTATTACATGTGTATTATAACATCACATTTTGTATATATATATATATATATATATATATATATATATATATGTAACAAATATATTTAGGTACTTTGGGCATAGTGGTTTTCAATGCTACTACATTGCAGCAGCTAGTGCTGGACACCAGCTGAACTCCTGAAATAATCAGCTGAAATGCTTGTGATAGCTGGGATTTATGAATATGTTACAATAATTTATCATCAGTGTAGATCATTGTTGGAAAACTTGACATTTCCTGGTATGATGTATACCAGGAGATTTTGTTCTCCAGAATCGTGACGAGGTAAAATAAAATGTTATGTACTCCATCATGATGCAACAAAAACAGCTTTTGGAAAAATTCATTGTACCTCTTTGTGTCAGGACAAAGTAAAACCAGATGGTGCAACAGCTTGAGACTTGCTGCTTCCATCAGGAGCCATGTACTGATATCTGCAAGAGCACAAATCTTGCACCAACCAGACTGATGCCCAATATCAAGCAGCCTGTGTTGCCACCTAGGTATATGGCAAATCATGTATGGAAATGTGAAAAATAAAGTGTGTGAATTTTGAATGGAATTGCCGTGGAACAATACTGGGAAATGATAAACGAGTACCAGAATCACACCGGTCTGTAGACTAGCAAAGCCCTCACTTCCTATTCCCTACGCAGACCAACTCAAACTTGAACATGACTTAACCTGCCATTGATGACGAACCGCATTTATTGCCAAGGATGTGACGAACAGTTATAGAAAACCGCACGCCCAATCACATCTCACAGACACCTGCCTACCCGCGCCACCCTGTGTCATGGCAATGCAAATGAGAGAATTACTCGCAATTCAGCGTGGGAAACGTCTCAACTATTCAGCGGCTTGCGCCCGCCTCCCAGCTCAGGTTGGACGTTGAACATGGCAAAACTCTCCAATTGGTTGCAATGATTCGCCTCCTCGTGACTGATTTGTCCAGGGCATAAATATTCTGCTCGCACTCATGCCTTGAACAGATTTGTAAACATTTGGAGGGAAGCTGTAAAGCGGTGGGCATCACGATTATGAAGAGGGACTTATTTGTACTCATCCAGAACTGCCATGTGGTTGGATTTTTGGCCATTTGTTAGCATTTGGAGTACAAAAATGTTACAACAGGTGTGGATTTAAACCAAGCTAAATTTGTCACTTAAGGGTGTGGAATAAAAGCTAGTAATTCAGGCTTCAAATCGAAAAACGTCAGTATAAATAGCTACAAAACTGTTCGGAGACAGCCATTCCACTCCGACAAGAAACACCAGGACACCAGAGTAACATGAAACCATAACTTTGTACCCCCCCCCCCCCCCACCCCCCAAATTAAGGAGAAGGGTTTCTTAGGACAAAAGCATCAATCAATTGCAACATAAATAATCACATTTCACAATGATGTCTGTTAAAGCGCATCAAAATCCATCAATACCTTGCATCATCCGCCGGAGTAAGCGCAGTGACTGACTCCGATCCCTTTTGGCCGGCCTGCACGGGTCTGTCCGGCATTGTACTTGTGCTGGCTCGGTAAATCGGTTATGAGTGCTACCTGTCTCTATTGTTCGGATGGGACGTGCGGGGCCTCGTGTGTTGACCGGGAGTTGGAAGGTGGAGGGCATGAATGTTTCGCTGTTTTTAAAACCAGTTAGCTGGTGGAGCGTGGGTAGCGTTACCGTGGTGGAGCGTGAGTAGCGTTACCGTGGTGGAGCGTGAGTAGCGT